TGAACCTGTTATGAATGAAAAGATCCTTGTTTCTATAAATTTCTGCTGCATTAGTTCTTATTTTTACTACAAGCTTCAGGTATGGAATAGGGGTTTTTGTATATTATTTGAATTGTTTGCGACGATGGATTTCTCGCCAATTAAATCATTAACCTTTGCATTTGTTTTTGTATGAATAATTCATGAAATATATATATATATATATATATATATATATATATATATATAATAGAGAGGGAATGGAGACTTATAAATATATAGAGAAAACAAAAAAGTTGAGGGATATGTGTGTATATTTATTCATGTGTGTATATGTATGCGTATATGTGTGCAAAGAAAGAAAGGAAAAAGAAAAAAAGATATATTTGCTAACATTACAAATTTTGTATCTGTCTATATCTATGAGATGAGGTATTATGTACACAATTTACATTATTCGGACTATTGTCCTCATCTATGTTGCCACATTTATTACAACGTTTCGGCCTTTTAGTATCTGTCTGTATTTCTGAGATGAGGTATTATGTACACTATTTACATTATTCGGACTATTGTCCTCATCTTTGTCGCCATATTTATTACAACGTTTCGAAGGGATTATCAGAGAAAATACAAAGGATCTGCAGTCCATATAAGATCAGGTCAACCTTCAAAAGCTGGATAATACTTCGCTGATATTAGAACATGACTAAAGACTGTGTGTACACTATCCCGTGCAGCTGCGGAAAGAAATATAAAGGAGAGACAGGCCGCCCCCTTAAGGTAAGGCTTCAAGAACACTAGAAAGCTGTAACACGAGTGGAAGTGAAAAAATCAGGCGTGTCTGACCACATATGGAGAGAGAAGGGAGATCACCGTTCCCTGTGTGATCAGGTTGACATCATAGACAAAGAACACCATTGGAAAATTCGTAAACTTAGGGAATCAGCACATATGCTAGGCCACAAAATTTTCCGGCGTGGATCAAGCATAGAAATGAATGCAATATGGGAACCAGTGATAAGGAGTGTCAGAGAAAAGCGATAATAACAACAGAAATTGCAATATGAGCTCTGGTAAAAAACATGCAATGATAACAGCAAAAAATTGCAATATGATCACTGATAAAATATGGTTGCTGAAGACATTAGGTTTATAATACACATACATATGTGTTAGGATCATTATGGCATGGGGCGCGTTTTGTAGGTCTCCCTAGAGTGGATGTGGTATTATGGTGCAAGGAGGATTGATTGGTGACGGACGAGTTCTTATGGTGAATGAGTAAATTGTAATGTCTGAATGGGTCGTGAATCAAATTAGCTAGGTATAAGATAGTTAGTGAAGACCAGCCTTACCCCCTCCCCCTTTTCGGCCTTGTGCCACAATTTTGTATTTTTACAAAATAAATCCCGGTTTATAATACACAGAAATTCATATGCTGATGTTCACAAAGACACATGGCAATGGATAAAGTTGTTAATTAGATCTAGTGACAGGACCCAAAGAGTGTGAGTTCAATACCCGGTTAAGGCAGTGGAGAAGTTGGAGAGGGGACTTAACAGGCGATAACTGACATCCAATGCCATTTGCATACCCCAAAACTGATCTCACCAACTTACCTGTAAAGGAAACGATCCTGACCTTGTTTGGAGTAGATGAGAAGTGGTGTTTCCACTTCATGAATTGTCTTTTTGTTTCTGCTTCAAAGTGATGAACTCAAGTACCCATCATTGAAAAATACCATATGTATTCTTTGATTTAGATTGGTTTGGTTTATTTTGTTTTACGGCATATCAACCTCAATGGGTTATTTAATGCTGACAAAATTTTTTATTGCTGGTAATATTTTTTTTTTTTTGTCAAAAATCTGTTTCTGGTAATACTTTTCCTTCAAAATTGTATTGCTGGCAATATTTTTTTTCAAAAAGTCTTACCCAGGACGCGGATGTAGTTTAACGTCTTATCCAAATTGTGTTTGTAAATTTATAAACATTTGCAGGGCAGACCTAATAAAGTATTATAAAATTAGGGAGAATAAAAAGCCAGAAACGGAAAATAAAATAAAAGAATTTATAAAAGTAAAATTTATTAAACAACAAACAAATAATTAAAAAACAAAATTTACAATAACTTCATACCGAACAATTTAAATTCAACAAAATTAAATTTTTTGTTGTTCACCAAACTGGTAAACACTTAATGCATTGCAGTTTTTTCTAGAGAGCAAGAGAAAACAAAGACGTCAAAAGCCGTCAACAGTTCCCTTCAATTTGGAAATTGTGTCGAATGACTGTGTAAAGATTCCAGACTTGTCTCTATAGGCACCAGAAATGTGGTAACTAGATCGTAGTCAAAGGAAATATGAGATGATGTAGTTTTATATCTGTCATTGATAACCGCTGTGTACGAAAATATAGATGAAGAGCTTTCATCTTCTGAGAGCATTATCTCAATCTCAACTGGTTCCGAGGATCATCAGAAAATTGCTGTTTCCGCTTTCTGTAAATATTAACCACGGCAGGACCAACAGACAGACGAGAGTTCTTTTCTAGTTTATCCATTGACGATTTTCTCTTTTTCAAACATATCGTCCATCTTAGTTTCGTCTTTCGGTTCAATAAAACAAACTCTTTTCGGACGAAGAAAGAAGATGAGTTCATCGACATCCGTGAATCCGGATTCTTCCCACCAATCTGTGAAAGATGATGAAGTGTGTTTATCAAAAATAGGATTCTGGTTCTGGTTATCTTCGATGAGCTCTGTGTGAGTGGTCATGGTTCCGATTGAGATTTGTTCACTTTCAATAGCTGTTTTCTGTCAAACAAAAAAACGTCGTTAGATGCCAATGATTCAGCGACACAAGCAGAAAAGATATCAGAAATTTCAAATCTTTTCCGCTTCAGTTACAATATTTTGACGTTAGAATATAATATTACGTCATTTTTCCTTCCGTCCTTCTTTCTTTCTTTCCTTCTTTTCTCTTTCATTCTTTCCTTCTTTTTCTTTCTTTCTTTCTTTCGTTATTTCTGTCTTTTTCTTTCTTTTTCTTTCTTTCTTTCTTTCTTTCTTTTTTTTTTACTTTCTTTCTTTTTCTATCTACCTTTCTCTATCGCTTTATGTATTTATCTGCCTTTCCATTAAAATGAAATATGGGAAAATGTTGAGGCTAATGAAAATCTTTGGTAAAAATTTCTTCGTTATATCAGCACTTTGTGACCTTACAGGCACCAAGAAATGATTTTGACATTCACAGAGGTGCTGGTCTCAAACCCCAAAATCTTTGAATTTCTAATTCAGAAAGAAGTAGAGTACAAAGTATAAATGAGAAGCTTGGCCATACCGGCGAAGGGGTCTGGAACGCGTGCCCCCCTTCTGCATTTGGTCTACAGAAACCTTGCATTCATTTATTATTTTCAGTAAGTGACCGTAAGTTTTGATGTTGTCTTCACATTTATAAATTGCATCAAGAAAAGACATTTAGTGATTTCTCAACTATTTACAAGTGTTTCGATTAGTTTAAAATGGTTAAATTTGCAGCGGATCTAAAAAGTAATCTAATTCTGAGGTTAACTGGGGCAAGGAATGGCTTGTTAGTTATAACGCCTCCAAAACGAAATCTCTGTATTGATCACTCGAGAGAATCTTTTCTGCCTCAAATCCGTATGGCTGATGCTAACCTTCAGGAGAGTGACTCGTTGCGCCTTTTAGGGTTAATATTCTCGGCTGACATGAAGTAGAAAGAAAGGTTGGTTCACTGTGTTGTATATATGATGCATTTCGTCCTTCAGGATTTCATCGAGATGAATTTGTTATGTTGGTACGACTACACATGTGCACAAAGAAAGAAAGAAAGGAAGAAAGAAAGAAAGGAACGAAGAGGTGTAATAGATATATTTAGTAACGTCCATCGAAATAATCTAGGAGATTACATATACAAGAGACGACTGAGCGGTTCATAAGCTGACAAAGATACTTTCATAGAATGAGACCAAATAAGGTTTATTTTCAAAATAATTCCTCTTGCTGACCGCACACTTCTACCATCCATGTAGCAGTGCTTGGATCCCACTGTTGAAGAAGATTTGATTTTGTTTGTCAAAAAAGTTATCAACATCAGATATAACGTCATCATCATTGCCATACTGGTTTCTAGCCAATCCATTTTTTCATATAGTCAGATTAGACTAAATTAGGAGAATAGGGAGTGTGACCACCGAGTTCAAAATCACAGTTACGCACAGTAGCCATTGAAACCAAGGACTTGTGTGATAGGACATTGTCCTGATGAAAAAAAAAAGTTTTCATAGTTGTGTCGTCCTGATGTCCTTTCATAATTGACTCGGTACTCTCTGTTGATGGTGTGGTTCGTTTGAAGATAGTCAATAAACACAACGCCTTTTGCATTCAAAAAACTGAGGCCATTAACTTCACTGCAGTTAAAACGACCTTATCCTTCTTTGGGGGCAGGTATTTTGGTCTCTGCCTCAAAGTGATGATCGCAACACTCATCATTTTCCCTTTAAGTTTCATGGGAAACGTTTAAGGAAACCCCATGGATCTGCCTCATTGTGATGCATATATATATATATATATATATATATATATATATATATATATATATTAGGGGTAAAAAATATGACAAATGGAATATTATATATATATATATAAGCTCCAATGGCGAAATAAGCAAAGATTAACACAAACTCAACGGCCATACCGGCAGCAGAGTTCATCGTCAGTCGGGGGCTGGTGTAGCTAAGGCGGACATTGACAGATCAAGCATCCGACAGCCAGATGCAACCAGGCTGGCCAGATTTCACCTGTTGCAATTCCCTTTGAGCCGCGAGGGAAACGCTTCTGGCCAAGTGTTTGGGCTTCTACGTCGCGCAGAGATGTCCGCCAAAATCAAATTCACGTGAATCACCTCGTCAAACTCTGATTCACAGCCATCTCTACCACCTCCACCGGGTGGAGAAAGGGAATGGAGAGAGAGAGAGAGTGACGATCCCGATGATCGGATGCGTGCGGGTGCTGACAACAATATCTCTTCCTCTCTGTACATCTATCTATCTATCTATCTATCTATCTATCTATCTATCTATCTATCTATCTCTATTTATTTCTCTATATATACATACGTATATACAGATAGACATAGAAATATAATTCATCAAACGGCAAGCCGACTCGGTCAAAAAGCGGTCCCGTAGGCCTCCTCCACTAATGTCCGATTAGCTTTTGTGGGTTATACCTATTGACTGGAAGATTAAATTTCTCATTGTCACACGAGACACTTATAAATTATATTTCATGCATTTTGTGATTCGATTATGTTATTATAACATCAGAATAAAAATGACGCCATCTATTTATCTACTAGTACCATAACACTTCTTCTTCTTTTTTATTTAATATCATTCTATCTCTGTCAGCGAAATGTGGGTGAAAGTCGCAAGCCTGCTTTACGTGAATGGGGCTAGCCTTGATTTTCTTTTGAAGTTTCCTTGAGAGACATCGAGGCGGTTTCCTTACAGACCCCCTCCCCTGGTTGAGCTAAACTCAGTTCTGTTTACCTAGTCAATGTGAGTAATTGTTGTTTCCGGCCTGCGCCTGGCAGTCTTTTTGGTTGTTGTTGCTATGATCTAAGTCATGCTTCCCAACACCCACACTTTATTTTTAGTCCCCTTTTTATCTTGACTGTTATTCACTTTCCCATTCCGTAAGCAAGTGAGCTGCTTCATTCTGCTTAGAGACAGAATACAGTGGTCACTCTTATTTTTCTGGTGGTGGTCGAGTACTAGTAACATATTTTGTTTTTTTTTTGCTTTAAATGTCCGCTCGCCTTTATTTTATTCCATATATTTCATATATTGTTGTAAAAAACAATTTGTGTATTATCAAATTTTACGTAATGTTATGTTGAAAGGAATATTATTTCTACGGCTGGGTCAGTGTTGATTTTTCTAGATTAGATGTGGCAGAAAGGATAGGGCACCCAGTGAGGATCGAACCCACTACTCATTTATAATTGACCTAGCGGGTCACGGAGATCAGCACTGAGCAGCAAGATGTTGTTACATGCTTAAACTAGATACCTCCACTAATTCACCATAAATTTTCGATACCTACGGTTTAAAATGAATTTATTTTAAATGAAAAAGCATTCTTGAAGATTTCATTTTAGCTTTAATTGAAAGCTAAATATTTAAATTTACTTTACCTCCAGTATTCTAGTGTATTTCAAATGGAAATTATATAGATCGGAATCTCAACATTTTGGCTGATTTCAGAAAATGGTCATTTTCTTAATATTAAGAAATTTGTAAACAAAACAAAATTATCGGTTTTAAAAATCTTCCAAAATAAAATATATATTTGTGATACATTATTTGAGTAAAATTAGCAAATTTAAAGTTAAATTAATTTGATTTTAAATAAATATTACTTAATTATAGCATAAAAAAGTAATATACACGCATTTCTTAACGACATGTCCTGTTTTTCTATGACCTTTATTGACGTATCTATAAGTTCCGAAGTGATGACAGCTAGTACGGATGACCAGAATTGACATAAATTTACGAAATCTAAATGAACACATTTTTTAACTACCTAGTAATTTTTACAAATTAACATATTTTCAGAAATTATCTGATATTTTATTGACTTACTTATATTTTATTGAGTTACGTTTGAATATGCTTTATGAAAAAATTTTAAAAAATTGAAGTACTTTAAAATTCTCCTAAATTAATTTTCAAATTTAATAACAGATGAAATTAAAATAAAGTAAGCAAGAAAATTGAACTGGAATTTTTTTTTAATAATTAAAATATTGTTTTATTTAACAACAAACAAGCAATTTAAAACGGAACAATTGAAAAAAACAACAAAATCTTTGTTTTTTGTTCACCAGATTGGTAAATACTTAATGTTTTACAGTCTTTCGTAGATAGCAAGTAAAAAGACAGCAAAAGCAGTGAACAGTTCTCTTCCAACCAATTTGAAAATTACGTTGAATGGCTGTGAGAAGAACTTCCGGATGCATAGGCACCAGAAATGTGGTAACTGGATCGAAAACACTGGAGATTTAAGGTGAAATACATTTATACCTGCCATTGTGTTATATTCCGTGCTAAGGGAATAAATACTTAACACCAGGTGGATAATAGAAGAAAGATTTATTGTTCACAACTAGTACAATATAAAATACGATACAGTTATACACACAGGTCAGTCTAGTAATGAGTGCCACCAATTGGAAGGTCAGATATGCTTGCGTTTTTTCTCTCTCTCTCACTCTTCCCCCAGTCTCTCGTAGACAGTTGACTTTATAGGTAGTTACTACCTATAGTGTAATCATTCATGGTGGTGACTGGTTATTCCATTACATCTGCCATTGATGACCGTTGTTTACGAGAATGTGGATGAAGAGCTTCCATCTTCTGAGCGCATTATCTTGATCTCAATCCGTGAAAGATGAAGAAGTGAGTATATCAAAAATAGAATAGTTGTTCTGGTTATCACCATCTTCGATGACTTCTGAGTGGGTGGCCATGATCTTGATTAAGAAATCATGCTTTCACTAGCTGTTTTCTTGCAAAGATACAATGTTAGTTGCAAATGACTCGGGGACACAAGCAGAAAAGCTAATGCTCATTCACCACAAAATCACACCCATCACCATTTAATACTACATTTACCACAATAACACAAATTCACAGGGAACCTAAAAACGACATAAAATTTCAATAGGTAAAAATAGTTCAATTGTCTCTTTTTTTCCATTTTGTTTTATATATATATAAATATATGCTCATGAAATGAGAGGGTAGAGGATGAACCAGGAAAACGAAACTAAAGTATAACAAAACGTTCAAACTAAATATAACAGATGTTAGTAGGACCCAACCACCCAACAAAAATAATAAAAGTGGCCGCTGTATTTTGTCTTTAGACAGAATCAAGAAGCCCAATGACTAACGGGGAGGAAAGGATAAAAAAAATAAAAGACACGAGTTGGAAAAAACATAGGCTGACCCAGTGGGGATGAAAAAGGGTCAAAAAACAAACTGAAGAGATTAGGGAATCTCGGCATGGATCATAACGAAAGAGAGATGGGAACAGGGGAAGAACAACATTTATTCACACACAGAAATATTATCGGAAATTTCAAATTTTTGCGCTTCAATTAGGTTATTTTGATGCCAGAACAAATAATTACGCCATTTGTTCATCCCCTACTCTTTATTCATAATATTTCTTTGTGTAATTGTTTCTCCAGAATCAATACATCTGACCTCCGACATCCCAAAGATAACGTTTTAATTCATGGGTAATTTCTTGGGTTCTTCCGGAGGCGTATAATGTGCGGACATTCCATGTTCCTTTTGTAAATTTTTTCTGTTGATAACCAGAAACTGTTTCGCAGTAGCCGACTTATCCCGCTTATCCTGAAGTGAATCAATGGGACGCACGGTCATTGTTAATCCGGGCCTCGACCGAGCCGGTATAGTTATATTTTGCTTCTCTTGCTTCATAATCCTTTCGGTGGGCTTGTAGATAACTTGGCGGCGCCCATCTCCTCTCAATTACTTGGCCGGCAGCCGAAACCACTAATATGTAGCAGATTGCATTCGGTCTGTGCACTTGATCGTTAAATCCACTGTCCAGCCGTTGTCCGCTTGTATAGATCATGCGCCTAGTAGTGCAGTGTAAACACTACCTCTTTACGTGTTTTAGCCCGGCTGCTGAAGCGGTTTACAGGGTGTGACGCGTGAAGCCAACACGTCAGAGATTTAGGGTATGGGTGAAGACCAGTGATGCCCGTCCAACTTATTGATAAGATGGAGCAGCCGAGCAACAAGAGTACTACTTCTACCCACTGCCCGCTACACATAAAAACAATTATATATATTTTACATTGAATCTCGGAGTAAACAGTTCGTCATCAAATGTACCAATATACTTAATATATTCAAATACTTAGGAGCAATCATGTCTAAAGATGGTACCTGCAACAAGGAAATCCGCACACAGATTGCCGCAGCCATGGCAGTGATGGCCACATTGCCAAGAATATGGAGAAGCAAAATCAGCTTTCAAACAAAGTTCAGACTGTACAAATTGCTGGTAGTCTCCATTCTACTATATGGATGTGAAACATGGACACTGTTGGCGGATACAGAGAGATGGATCCAAGCGTTTGAGAACAAATGCATGAGAAAACTCCTTGACATCTTTTATTGGGAACATAAAACCAATGAGTTTATGCCGAAAAGGGTTAAAAGTGTGGCAGGACACCAGGAACCTCTTCTCGCCACTGTCAAACGGAGAGAAATGGCATGGTTTAAACACATTACAAGGCACGATAGCCTGTGCAAGACCATCATGCAAGACATCGTTGAAGGTGGACGTAGCAGAGGACGCCAACGCAAAAACTGGTTAGACAATGTCAAACAATGGACAAGTATGACTATACCAGAATTACTGATTGCTGCCGTCGATAGACCGTTGTGGAAAAGAGTTAGTGTGGCTTCTGAATTCGGATCCGCCCTACAATTACAAAAGTCAAGGGGATGATGATTTCTTGGACTTCTTTCTGTCTCTCTCGATTTATTTTCCTTTCCTATTTCTTTCTTGCCATAGGTATTTATATGCACGTCCACAAAATTGTGTTTAGCACAATCATTTATCATTAAAATCTATTTTAACTGTGTTCCAATTTTTCCCTCCTCATTCGCTATTTACTAATGTGTCTTTAATTGTTTCCTGCTGTTCGCCAACGTTCACCTTTTGAGAAAATGTTGGCCGAAAGGGTCCCCTCAAGGTAAATAAAAAATAATGACGTTCATTCTATTTAAGTATATATACATATATATGTGTGTTGAAAAGTTCAACCAAAAGGCCGTCTTCCATTTTGTGCATCAGCTCAGAAATATTTAACACATCCACAAATATATATGTATGTACGTATACATATATAATCAGGAATACAGATCTTTAAGGAACATGTGAATTCGTAAATAATATTGATTCTCTGTAATTTGGATTTGCAGGTAAATTATTGTAGCTATGTGGTTATCAGTTTAAATTTGTTTTAATGTTTAATGGAAACATTATTAATAAAAAAAAAATCCAACACCCAATAACTTCAACTATAAACCCGACCACAATATGCTGACCATGTTTGAAAAATAAAACATTTCTACAACTCTAGATACATACATAAAAAAGGCATACAACCAGTTAAAAGCAAAAATAAAATCACCCTTGACAATGGCTGAAAGTATAGCCGAAAGAGCTCAGACATGAAGAATATTCTGAGAATTTCTACATAATTTATGCCCAGAAAAGAAAATTAGAAGAACATATAAGAAATCAAAAGCTTAACCGCAATATCTTGTCAGTCGTTTTTGATTAAACGTGTGTGTGTGTGTGTG